AAGTAAGTATCAGATAGTTTAAAGATCGCAATGGAATCGGATAGGTCGGGGTCAAGGTCATTTGGCTGACTATGCGTAGGAAGCTATAGGCCTTGAACTTGGTGCCTCAGAACAGTGATGCCGTAGAAGCTGCTAAGCCAGGCTGAGGTTCGAGTTGGCAAGAGCCCGAGATGCTTCCGAATGCTTCCTCTTAGAGGGAACTCCAGAAAGTTGGAATATGGATGAATGGCAGGACCCCCTGTAATCTACCTTAAAGGGGTTACGATAATGATATTCCAACTTTCTGGCTTCTACTGTAGAGAGGTACAGCTACTACTTGGAGTGCAAAAGTGGTGTCAAAGGCCTTAGTACGTGCGCAGACACATGATTGTTCGCCGCTCCGGATGTGTTGATTTGGTTGACCACCTGAAGGACCAAATGACCCTGAAAGGTAGCATATACTATGAATCCCTATATGGTATATGAACCTTAAACACTTTTAAAAGGAGCCGCATCAGTTCTGTAAACAGAATCACCAAAGATGTGGCTCTCACTCACCTTCGGCGTGGCATAGGCCCAGGCAGTCCCAACAGTATCTACGTGCACAAGAGAAAGTTAGAGGCCAACGGCTGCAAATCGCAGGGGTGTCTACATCCGTGACCGTTGGCCGCGACGCTGGACACACCAAACAATGACTCTTTTTGTTGTTTGGACTCTTTTAATGTGGCGGTCGGTTTAGTACTAGGGTACCCCCCCCCCCGACCAACAAGTTTTGGTCTCATTAATCTGGAACCGGTGACGTCGGGGGGGTCTGGGGATCACCAAATGCTGGAAACCAAGCCCCGATCACTCCAAGACTACTACCAAGACTAAAAACCCTTCATTTTGAACACTTTTAATCCCTAACCTACACTCACACACTCCCACCCACAATCGACCACGTCTGAAGCTTTGTGCGGTACAATAATAGTACAGTAGTACAATAGTAGTACAGTAGAAATAGCACAATAGTAGTACAATAATAGTGCAGTAATACAATTGTAATACAACAGTAGTACAGTGGTAGTACAATAGTAGTACAGTAGTAGTACAATAATAGTACAGTAGTACAACAGTAGGACAATAGTAGTACAGTAGTAGTACAGTAGTAGTACGATAATAGTACCGTAATACAATAGTAGTAGTAGTAGTAGTAGTACAATAATACTTCAGTAGTACAATAGTAACACAACAGAAACAATAGTAGCACAATAGTAGTACAGTAGTAGTACAGTAGTAGTACGATTATAGTACCGTAGTACAATAGTAGTACAGTAGTAGTACACTAGCAGTGCAGTAGTACAATGGTAATACAACAGTAGTACAGTGGTAGTACAATAGTAGTACAGTAGTAATACGATAGTAGTACAGTAGTACAATAGTAGTACAGTAATAGTACAGTGGTAGTACAATAGTAGTACAGTAGTACACTAGTAGTACAGTAGTAGTACAACAGTAGTACAGTAGTACAGTAGTAATACAGTAATAGTACAGAAATAATACCAATAAGCACTGCATAAAGCCAGTGAGCATATTCCCCCAATAAGCAAAGCATAAAGCCAGCGCCTGAAACCCTAAACCCTAAACCCTGAACCCTAAACCCTAACAAACCCTAAACCCTAACGAATCCTAAACTCCTAAACCCTAACAAACCCTAAACCCTAAGCCCTAAACCCTTCCCAAAGGGGGGTCGGTCCAGATTGGACCCAAAATTGAATTTTTTATACAAACTTTAGTACTGGAGAGGCCTCGTTTGAGCTAGGGTCCAATCCCCGATTCGGCGGTTCACCCTAGCAGCCCCCCCAATAAGCAAGGCATACAGTAGCAGTGCAATAGTACAATAGTAGTACAGTAGTAGTACAGAGTCCCATTCCTGACGCCCCAATAAGCGAAACAATTCTGCAAGAGATTTTCGGGCTTCAGGGCCAGGGTTTTAGGGTTGGGTGGGGGTTTGGGTGGGGGCTTCAGGTCGTGGCTACCTTAAGATTGACCATCAGCAAACAACACAGCCCCGCCCCCAAAAAATCCCCCCAGCCAAAAAAAAAACGCATTAATTAGACCGCCCAATTAAATTTTTCGTACCGGTCGGACTTAGCCCCGGAGAAAACGCATTAAAGGAGCCCATATTCCTAAACCGACCGGCACATTAGTATGAAACAAAGGAGCAACAAAGAAGCATTCAAATATGTGCATAAGTAACACCGCCTGCACCTGCCACCTGTCGCATCCCAGCCAAATAAGCCAAATAAGTGTTAATACCCGACAGCTCAAAGCCCTAAGCATTACATCCCCATTCCCACTTCGTTGGAATGGTATAGACCTATATGGCTTAGTCAGCCCAGGGTAGGTTTGCACTGTGTACTCGTCAAAGTAGTTGACTGTTCGGTACTTCGGTTTGAGGGGAAATCTGCCTGCTAGATGCTGCAACCCCGACGCTCCTTAATGGGTTAATGACAGCGGTACCTAACACCCTAGTACGGAGGTCTGATGTGTTGCTGCGTTTATCCCGCTTATAATCCTTACGTATTTAAGTAGTCTCATATAATGTACTAGACTATACCCCACCTTGCCTGTCGCTGCTAGACCCTCTGGATGCAACGGCAGAGAGAGAGAGAGAGAGACCCCACCTCAACCTTTCTCTGACTTTATCAGGTGGCCGCTGCCACACTCTGCAGCGCAGGGCTTCGTGCGGCCTGTGCAGCCCTGCGCACATGCAAGGCCGGAGTGGCAACCCAAAGGCCCCAAAGTAGTTCCTTTTTGGGGTTCATATATAGAACCCTATAAGGTAATCCCAAAAAGGAACTACTTTGGGGCCTCTGGGAAAAGCTTGGGGTGGACAGTTCAAGGGCAAACTTCGTAGCCACGGCTTCGATTTCCTCTTCTTCCAGATGGAACAGGGTCTTGTATAAGGTTTCGGTATGCAAAGGGGGAGGCTTTTTCAAAGTGGTCGTAGTCTAAGCCCAGAACCTTAAGCATGTACGGCAGTCGGACACATGTGCCTGCAGGATGCATTCGGTCTTTCGTTTGAGCTAGGGAGGTTTTTCTCGGTTTGGGTGGGTTTTATGTACTGAAGGTCAGAATCCGAATACTTGGCGTTGCTATACCTTTCTGGACCGCAACTAATAAAACTGTACCTGATACCTTGTAGACCCCGGCCAAACACCCTCTACAACCTCCTAAACCCTTCAACCCTGGAACCTTCACATCGGCGCCTCAACAATTAGAGCAAGTCTTTGGGGCCCATTCTACGACAAGTATAATAAGGAACCCACCAAAATAGTATAGATAATATTTAGAAGGCCCCTATACTAAATCCTTATAGTAGCCCTTATAGACCCCTTTTAAAGGAACCCTAAACCCTATAGTATAGGCAATTATTATTGCGCCTATATTACACTGTCAGGGCTGGAGCGAAGATGCCATCAGCCTTGGCTGCCGGGAGCGGGCATACAAAGAGATGACAGGCTCCGCGGAGGAGTTCTTTTAAATTGAGGGTTCAGAGTTCAGGGGTTTAGGGTTCTGCAGCAAAGGGTTTGGAGTTTAGAGTTTAGGGGCTGCAGGTTCGGGTTTAGTGGTTCAAGGCTTAGAGGGCTAGATGCCGGGATTACAAAGCTAGGTATGTTTTAGCCAGCTGCTTTTGGTGTTTTTTAGCGCCCCCCAAACAAAACATACCTCTCTCTCTCTCTCTCTCCCAGACGTTTCGAATGCCTTGGAGAGAGAGAGAGCGAGAGAGAGAGAGAGAGCGAGCGAGCGAGCGAGCGAGCTAGCGAGGGAGGGAGCGAGGGAGGGAGCGAGGGAGGGAGGGAAAGAGGTATGTTTGGTTTGGGGGGGCGCTAAAACACCAAGAAGCAGCTGGCTTGTGGGGGTTTGGCCTTGTTACGGACTGAAGGATAATTAATTGCCTGGGGCGCCAAAGTACCTATAAATAACCAGCGCCTTTCGATTTTGCTACGCTTGCGGGGTGGTGCCGGGAATTAGTTCGTACTAGAAAAGAAAAGTAGCGCTTTTAGCTTAAACTCCTAAAATCCATCCCAGGGCATGCTAGTGTCGAGTTGAGACTTGGTCTTGAAACGGTTTTTCGGGAAAGGGGCATGGAATAAGCTGCAGGTTTCCGCTGCATCGCGGCCATACAAGGCATATCGTAGTGATGGAGATGATCCCACCAAGCCGAGAGACCATAATCTCGACAGCTCTAGTAAACTATTAAGAATCCTACGTCTGGAATGTATGCAAGCTAGATGAGTCGTTGGAGTTTTACTTCCATATAGCCTTCCTTACCCTAAAGCCAGCCTGAACCCTAAACCCTCAGCACGACTTTTCGATGTGCGGTGGTGTCAAAGCTCTCATCGATGGCCTCGGCTTCCAGCCATTCATCAAGGACCGATAGTCTTGCATTTGTATTCTGATATTCGGAATCACGGGGCTCAGATGAGTGCATGTAGAGAAATGATTGGACTAGCTACAGTAGTACTATAGTAGCTTTACGCCCGGCACAACTTCGCAGGATCTGGGCCTTTGCTGCAGTGATGATCCCCGATATCGAGGCCAGGTAATGACTGTGCATGCATGAGCATATCTGGCACGATCATGGTAGAAGTCACGACCGATCTGTCAAGCACGACCCATCCCCGCACATGCCAACACAATCCTAATCCGTGCAGGTTGGACATGGACGATGGGGCGGATCGAGGTGCTTTTCGGCAGCCCCTCACGTTTGCCGGGCAGGGTTTAGGGGTTTAGGGTTTTAGGGGTTTAGGGCCAGATATAATACGAGGCTGGCTCAGCTTTTAAGGATTTTAGGGCAAGGGCTTTGGTTGGATTTCAACATATGCATATTGGTTGGTAATTGTCCTTGCAAAATATCGATCGGGGCTTACTTCCTGCTGGGTGTACATCGCATGCCAATTTGCAATGCTTACAACTCGCATCGCAGCTATCTTCAGTTTCACTAGCTTGCTCCATTTTGCAAGCAGGCGGCCACCATGAAGGATAAAGCACTTGCAAAGGCATGGGAATCCTTAGCTGTTGTACGGAAGCGCTTCCGTATTGGAGCCGAGTGGGTTCATCGTCCCACGAACTCCGAGGGCGAGGATTGCTTGATCGGGAATATGGGCCTCAAGGCTAACTACAAGATTCTGATCGCGATGGTTGAGGTCTTGGGTCTTGATAAGATTGGAGTCGACGTGCTTCAGAAAGAAGCTTCTTGCCAACCAATATGATATGTAGTTGTTAAGACTTTTGGTGTTAAGGGTATTGTGCTTGATCGAGGATGATATCTTTTAATTCTTATTATATAGTAACTCCCGGGCCTAGGTGAACTACCTCTTTGAGAATGTTGGCTACACTCCGAAGAATCCGAAACAAGGCTACCAAGATGCTTGGTCTTGCAAAACCTTGTATACTCACGCCTGGAAGCGATATGCAGAATCCCGAAGGCGAGGACAAACCCCGAGAGAAACTCGATCGCAGGTTCTGTAGCACATGCTTTGTCGGTGTATTAAGTACGAGTCTTATATTTTGCACACGCCAATCGGATGCAACCTAGGACCTCCAGGTTCGTACTCTTTACCGGGCGATTGCAGCTGCACTAGGGCAGGAATACCCCGACTCCGAACCCGAGGGTGAGGAGGCAGAAGAGGATGCAGAAGAGGAGGCAGAAGAGGAGGCAGAAGAGGAGGCAGAAGAGGAACAGGAAGACGAGGGAGAGGGTAATGAGGAGAATGGGGAGGAGTGTGAGGAAGAAGATGTACATGAGGAGGAGTGGGAGGAAGAGGATAACGACAACAACGATGAACCCGAGATAATTGAGGATGGGCCGGTAGCTACGCCGCCGAAAAGTACACCGGCCGAGCTGCATGCAGCTATTCGGCGAAGCCCCACAGCAGGCCCTTCCGGATTGCAGCCGAAACGTGACGAGCTTTATGAAAAGCTGCGATTGATCAAGGATTTGCAGAACAAGTTGAACTTGTCGTGCCTAGGTTGCCCTTAGGCCAACATCCCAAGCCCCACGACCCCAACACCTCTTTATACGTCGTCCCCTAAATCCCGATACTCCAAACCTTAAGCCTAAATCCCTATAGCCCTAAGCCCTGAAACCCCTAAACCGAATCATCCTTCGAATCCAGGTCAATCACCGGCCTCTCCTCGCCACCATCTTCGTGCAGCCACAGCCCAGCCAGTGCAGGCAAGTCCTTATACTTAAGTGAGTCAAGCTAAACCTTCGGATTTTGTTTGGCACGTATATCGAGAGAGTTGCCGAATACAAAGGGCCGTACATATGCAGGCATACACATATAAGCACATAAGGCAGACATACATACGCACATACATACATACATACTTATACATTCACAAACCTGAATACAGAAACCTATGTATATATATATATACATACAGATATACATACATACATATATATATATATATATGTATATATATATGATAATATTTTGTTCATGCTTGTATGTATGTATACACATTTACATGTGTATACATACATACATACATACATATATATATATATATATATATATACATACTTATGTATTTATACACCTATCACATGCATACATTCATACATACACATGCAGTTCATATACCAACACATATACAAGCACATAACTAAGCACAAATAATGTATATATATATATATATATATATATATATATAGACACATACGAAGACATGTTCATGTTTTGTGTACATGGTGTTTGTGGGGATTACCCCTATCTTGTACACTGCACATGCACACACGCATGCATATGCATATATATATATATATGTATGTATATATATATGATATTAATATACATGTGTATGTATACATGTATCACATGCGGTAAACATATTACCCCTCACACACTTCTCATCAACACATACACAGCTACACAAGAGTCTAAATTGTATACGCATGTACACATGCCAGTGGTGTGCAATGTTTCATGACTAGTAAACCACTGCAATAGTGGACATGTTTTGAACCCAAACGGTGTGCACAGGTCCGATCGTGATGATTGACGACAGCCCGTGCAAGAAAACGCTGGCTGCATCCAAATCCTTTAAAGCATTGCCCGACCACCAGGACTCGACTGCATGGATCGGTATTCGTTTGGGTTGCATAGTTTCCTAGACTACCCCGACTACCCCCTATTGTAATATGATACTTGTAAGCTACCCGATACCCTTATAGGACACACAGACCTACGATGCTGATGCGATTCTCGCTGCTGCCCTGCCGCCTGAGAAGAAATCCAAGAAGGGCATCAATGCCAACAAGAAGCAGGGGCTGGAATTGACCACGCCATCGCCCAAGGCCTCGCATGTCCCAGAGATCACTCCGCCAAAGGCCCGACAAAGGGCGAAAAATAATTCGCAGGACTCTTCCCCATTGATCTTTTCTACGGGTTTTGGTCCTAGAAACAAGCATAGTCATCTTTCATCTGTCCCCGAATTATAGGTTTAGGGCTTAGCCGTTTCAATTATATATGGATGTATATTATTCTGATTCGGCACAGGTCGACATGAAGAAGGTGAGTCCGGAGGAGCAAGCCGCACTCAAGAAATCGTTGTGCCCCAAGAAGGGCAAAGGAAAAGGCAAGGGCAAGGGCAAGAAAAGCATCGCTTCGGAGCCTGAGCCGGTGTTGACCAGGAAGAATAAGAAGCAGGCTGCTGTTGTGGCTGAGGATGAGCCACCTAAGGGACTGAAACGAAAGAGGGCGGCTGCCCTGTTGAAGTCCACGTCGGAGGTGGATGATTCATCGGCTGCAGAGCCAACGGCTAAGGGAGCCGGCCGTGGTCGTGGCAGCAAAGGCCGTGGTCGTGGAAGAGGGTGTGCAACTGGTGATGCTAAGGTTTACGGATGTGCTCGCTGTCGTTTTGCAAAGACGGGCTGCAGTCAGTGCAGAAAGCCTGGCTACAAGCCCCGTGGCCCTCGCTCGGGCAATGCCTGAGCGACCTAGATCCTTCGGAAAGGTCGACTTTTCGTATCGGTCACAGATCGATAAAGTTGCTATAGGGGTGCAATCTGCAGCTGCTAGCAGTCGGTAGCATCGTCTGAGTTCTGCGAGAGGTTTGTCATGCAGGGAAATCCTTGCATGATATGGGGAGACAGCCTGAAATCTGATCGAAGAATTGAACCTTTGCCCCAAACCCTTAAACCCAAAGTAAGGGTCCGAGTGTGAGCGCCGAAACCCGAAGTAAGCCCTATATGGTCTAGCCGAGCAGTGTCCTCCACAGATTGCAGACTGTCGTTGTCAGTTCTCTGTCGACCGCGACTTACGGCGAGCTGATTCGCGAAACCTACGGCTACCGTTAATCATGTCGACTTCCAGTGTTTGCAACTGCATGACTGTAGCTCGGATGGGGTCTTGAGTTCATACGGTTCGGCCAGGCCGCTGCTGATCGATGAGCAAGGCATGGAGGATTCGCAAAGGCTTCCACAAGTCTCGTGCCCCCGTCCTGTGGCAGTTGGATCATGCTGATCTTTCTGTACGGACTTGCTGCAGTTTTGGGAGCAAGGGGGCCAGAGTTGGGTAGTTCTGTCTTGTTTGATCAATGTAATGCACCACTTGTATCGCGAGGGGGCACTGTACGATAAAAAGATTGCATCGTGCAATTACTTGGCTTAAAAAGAATAACTCAACCATCGAATATATAGATCTTATCTGACATCCACGGAAGTGCCCTTGATTCGAGACGATGCCGAGCAGTTCGCTACTCTGTCTGCAACATAGCAAACTTGTGTCACAAAAAATCTCAAACCCCTATCACCTTAACTTGCTAAAAAGAGACGGAGGGACCAAAGCGAGCTCAAAAACTCCGTGCAAAGGGCGATGGGTGGAGCTTCTAGCTGGCTTTTGGGAGACGGAGCGGTCCAAAAGCCAGCTAAAAGCTCCAAACAAACGGGGAGGGAGGGAGAAAGAGAGAGACAGAGAGAGAGAGAGAGAGAGAAAGAGAGAGAGAGAGAGAGAGAGAGAGAGAGAGAGAGAAAGCGAGAGAGAGAGAGAAAGCGAGAGAGAGAGAGAGAGAGAGAAAAATAAAAGAGATAGAAAAAGAGAGAGAGAAAAAGAGAGAGAGAGAAAAAGAGAGAGAGAGAGAGAGAGCGAGAGAGAGAGAGAGAGAGAGAGAGAGAGGGGAGAGATAGAAAGGGGGAGATAGGGAGAGAGAGACCCGCACTCGCAGACGCACACAACTACATGAACTCGATGAATCTCAAGTTCTAGGAGCAACAGTCTTAGTATCATCGAAGTTTGGGAGTTGTGTCGTTCGACACTGAAAGAACAGGCGAATAAACCCTTGTAATCCCCAAACCATAAACCCTATATATAAACTCGATCGTAAACCCCAAACTCCTAAGCCCTTAAAACCGACCACGCCAAGGTTTGCCGGGTGGCTCGCCACACGTTTCGTGCACGGTCATGGCAGCTCGTCTGTACTGGCCTTTGTGTATCTGGGTGACCGAGGGCTCTCGGGCTCTGCAAAGGGGAACTTGAGGATCAGCTCTCCAGCCCAATTTATACATCGAAGATCCCGAATGCTATGCCGGGTTCTGAAGGAAGCTAGTCTGCAAAAGTGGTAGCTGATAATTAGCTGAATTAGCATGTCCTGCCCGCTGCTGCCAAGGTTCACCAGGCGGTTTTCTGGATGCACAAGTTCGGTGCACCTTCGGCCAAAAGGACCATGGATTCTTGGATTGTTCGTTCGCTTCAGAATCACTTATGCTTCACAGGACAACTAATTACCTTTGGAGTCGCTTCGAAGCTGGATCGTCTGAGCCACGTGTCTGAGTATGTGGTGGGGGCTTGAACATATGTTGTGTAAGTGCTGCAGATGTCAAGCAGCCGAGGCTGTTTCCACTGGGATTCGCATTGCGGTTCCTGGAGACCTTCAGGCTTTATGGCAGATTCAAGACCAAAAATCAGAGTTCCTGGACGTTCGGTTGCATGATCTATTGCTGTTGCACTGCTTTTCGCTTTCAATATAAGCTTCAAAACCGAGGCCCCGAATATCGAGCCTGGGCGATTGCTGGGAGGATGCAGACAACAGTCTTGGTTTCAAATAGGACGTGATCTTGTACTGTTATATCAAGCACAGTATAGTACATAAAGTAATATAGACCTATTGTATCGTGACACGTCCTATATCGCTACGATCGACCGATGTTTGCTCTCGGTGCAGAAATGGAGGAGCTGGGCATATGTTAATTTGCTGCTGTGCTAACTAATATACTATATAGCACAATCTACTAGCATATATATAATCATATATTAACCGAATACAACTTAACGCATCTCTACGCTAAAAAGGCGGTGCCGTAAAATGCCGTAAGGTGCCGTAAGTAGGCGTAAAGTGCCGTAAAATAGCGTAGGTCGTATGCAAGCTACTATGCTGCTGCTTCTTAGCTGCTCTGACATCATCGATAGTAGTTTGGAGTCCCGCTGTGGTAGCCTAGCCGTGGTGTCGTTGTTGCAAAGCCAACGTGCACTTGCTATGGCAGCCAAAGTCAAAGAAGAAATCGATCCTACCGGTCTTGATGCCCAGCTTCTCGATATCTGGCTGCAAATTATCCGTCCTTGGACAGTTGATTTACGGGTTATTATATTATTACTGCCACTAGCTAGTGCTACTGAGGAGGCGAATCAGTTGCTGCACAACCTGCAGATGTTGGTGCTACAGAAAGAGCAGAATTCGAAAGCCGAAGCTGCGACCTCTGCAGAACCAGTTGCCGAGCCCCCAACAGCTGTGAGCCCTGCAGAACCAATTGCCGAGCCCGCAGCAGCTGTGAGCCCTGAAGAACCAATGGCCGAGACCCAGCAAGAACAGTACGAGACCCAAGAAGAAGCTGCACACGAGTCACGACTACTCGGTCGCCTGGAGTTTCTGGAACGTCTTGAAGCTGCAGTCGTGACAGATGAGCTCACGCCGACAGAGCCTGATGGCGATCCGTACTTTGACTTCTCAGATCTCGAGTGTGCTTTGAAGGTCCCACCACCTCCCGCACGGCTGATCGCCACACCCGCCCGGGCCGCTTCCACTTGGGACCTCCGGTCTTCCCAAGATGCACAGGCCTTGCGAGACCCAACACCCTCACCAGCTGAGATGCCGAACGAAGACGATTACTTAGGGGACAGCCATGAACAGCAAAGCCCATCACCTGTGCAGGCTCCATAATTGCATGCAGATTTAGGGCTTATCGTCTGATCGATCCAATTTATAAGGTTCTAGAGAGCTATACCATCGTATCTCAGGTTGATGAAGACGATGCTATGCCTGACAGCGACATCATGGCTGGACTCCACGCCTTCGTGAAGGCGAAGGCCGACGCAGGATCGGCAGTGGAGATCGAGATGAACGAGCCGGCCCCGGAAGTGCCTGGGCTTTGTCATGCTGGCATCTTAAGCCACAGTATATAATAGGTGCTTCCGAGACCCCCGGAAGCACCTATTATATAATGTGGCCCCAAAGGCCCCAAAGACCCAGATTCGTAAACTACGAACCCAAACCCCTAGCCCAAAACTTTCCCGAAACCAAAACCCCAAGCCCAAAGCTTCTCTAAGAAACCCGAACCGGAGCTGCCACCGAACTCTGCAAACCCGTAGTGTAAACCCCAATTTCTAAAAGCAAGATCCAGCTAGGTCGAAAACGCCGACGGTGCCGAAGACCCAACCGACCCAGCTTCTGCACATGCTGCTCCTCATAACCAGGCCTGATCTCTCCCTAATTTTACGTAAACCCGATATGTTTTTTTATCTCATTGCCAGCCAGGTGATCCGGGTGTCTTCGCAGGAGCTGGCGAAGTACGATGCTGTTCTCAGGAGGCTTTGTAAATCTACGGGTAACCAACGAAAGGCCGCCCAGGTGACCGTCCCCCAAGAGGTGAAGGATCAATGGCTTAAGGGGGGGACTGCTCGAAAAGAGCTCCTGTCCATCCTGATCGATTCTGCTGGAGACAAGGACAGTCTGTGTTGAGCCCTTGTAGTGTACCCCCTGGAATCAACCACCAAACTCGGCTTGTGCCAGGAACGCTTCGCCCAGCGAGCTGAGCTGATTCTTGAGAGTCGGAAAGAGCAGACCCTCGAGGTCGAATCGGGCTTCTACAGTGAGAAGGCCATGAAAGACGATCTTAAGTTTTCTCCGTTCCCTGAATGCACTAAAGCCCCACATCCCTCGAGATTCGCACGCATTGCATTCGCACACGGGGTTTAGATAATTCAGATATCCATGCACTAAACCCTAAACCTTAAAACCCTAAAACCCGACAGCATGCAGCCAAAGCCCAGGACCAGGATCAAGGCCGTCAAAGCTTACTGCAACGCCACGGAGCAGCGACGGCGGGAGCTCATCCGGCTCCTTACAGCAGTTCGTCAGGTTGCACATATTAATATAGGGCTTTGATTTCGTTCCGAGGAAAGACAAATACGAGCCAGACATCCTCGAATATTGGACAGACATCAAGACGTCGGGCAAACTTCGACGATCGTCTTCTGAGACCACAATCAGGAGGATTGAGGTTACGGATATTGGGGGAAAGTTCCCTGGGCTCCTGATGGACGAGGGGTCGGCACCTGTGCCCGACTTCTGGGACCACTCACCCTCTGCTTCGACAGAGCCCGTGCCCGTGCCATTGGCTCTCACCAACACACCCCATTCGAAGCCAGCCCCCAAGGCCACACCCTCGCCCGCAACAAAAGCCGGCACGAATCAGCTTGCTGATGATCTACTCCAGGAGTCATATGCATGCATGTGTAGTGTACATGCCATGGCTGTGCAGACACACACACACACACGTCCACGCATGTGTGCATATCGTGACAGGATGTGGGCCAAGTGCCTGGGGTCCTGAAAGAGATCTTGAAAGCCCAGAACAAGGCTCTCAAGGTGCTCGACAAGGTCTCTGCAGACAGTATGGATGCAAGTACCGACCAGACACATGCCTAGAAATAACTCGTGAATTCCCGTGAAGTTACATTTTGTTTCCCTGGCCCAGCCAAGGACAGCAAAACTGAGGGACGAGGCATCCAAGCTTGTGGGTTTGCACGACGACATTGCCGAGCTGAAATCCAAGTATGATTCACAGAAGAGCTTGAGCTCGGAGACGCTTGATATAGGGTTCAGTCTATAACACTTGCCCAAACCCCCGAATAGGAGTCGGATGCCTTTTGCATGTATATGGCTAGCCAAGGGATTCAGCTTCGTTGAAAAGAAAGTACAGCGAGGTTGATCGGGTGTGCCTTGATTGCAATTTCTTCTTGTGGCCCGCTTCGTCTCCAATCGAATGTCCTTAGCCTTATCTATGAGGTGCTCTCGGCTGGAAATGGAGGAGCAGAAAGTCCGGAGGTAGGGGTTTCAAATTGTTTTGGTCGGTCTAATGCATTCACAGAGTCGTATGCTTTGTCAAGGATCGTGCTTCGCAAGTCGACGCCGGCTGCTGTGACAAAGGCTAAAGCTAAGCCAAAGGCCGGTTGCAAGCCGGCTCCGAAGTCGAACCCAAAGAAGAACACACGTCACGACGATGGCGACAGCGATGATGATGATCATGATGGCGGCCGTGACGAAAGTGACGATGAATGTGCAGCCAAGCCGAGAACTGCCAAGGGAAAAGCCAAAGCTAAAGCTAAAGCCTCCGGCAAAGCCAAGGCTAAGGCTAAGGCTAAGTGAGTGTTCCTGGTTTTAAGTCCTACGAGTGCTGTGGCTATAGCAGGTAACAATAAGACCATTGCTGCTAAGTTGGATCCTGTTGTGTTTGATACGATACTATGGTGCTGATAGGCGGTTCTCGGCACATTGTTTTGCTTTTGAGCAGCACTGATGTGAATTACATGAGCTGCTGTCACTTCAGGCCAGGGGTCTGCGAGCACATAGAACCAGCCCGGCAGCCAGAACAGTCGAACATCATCTCCGTGCATGCCTTATGGCAATGATCGGGCTGGCCAGTGCATCGCACGAACGGGGTATTTGCAAAGCTATGCTTCACAGGGTGCATCGTTCCAAAGCATGCATTGGCAAAAATGACATGCAGTGCTTGCTGCTGCACACCCAATCTTATCCCTTGATCGTAAGTTATCGAATTCCTAAATTTGAGGGTTCCAATCCTAGAGGCCCATAAAGCAAACACGGAAACCCAATGAAGCGACCCTCAAAACCATAAACCCAGCCCACGAAGCGACACACCAGCCAGGTACTTCATCTTCGTCAGCAGCGAATGCAGGTCCAGCTGCCAAAGCCTTGGCACGGGCGAGCTCATCCGGAGCGCCGAAACTATCGATTATGTGTTTGTTTTCTTCACAAACCTTGTCATATTAATCTAGATCGATTATATATACCCAAAAAGCAACCCAAATTCGCTTATGCAAGATATTCTAAAACGAAAATACTGCAGAGCGGAGTCTAGGGGGTCCAAGAGCGGCTTGTGCTTAGGTTTCGGATCGCCTCATTTGTGACCTGGCTTCTGGATTCTGGGAAGAGCACGAGTCCCTGAATTGCGAGGCTGAATTGCCGAGCAGTGCTCTTCTACGCAAGATGCATAGGAAGAGGCAAACGAAACACGAGAATACTACGCAGTCGATCCTGAAGGAGTTTGGCTTGTCGTGTCCGATTCCTCTCGACTATGTAGATATTGGAGATCAAGGGCAACACGAAGTTTTTCGGGCAGAATCCTACCTCCGTATTTTCAGTCTTCATGACAAGATGGGCTTATTGTTGGGCCATACTCAGACTTTCAGTGTGGTGAAGGAATTCTGGCATCGCTATCGAGGCATCGACCCACAGCATCCGGTGTTTTCGTACCATGCTGGGCGAGAGCAGTTTGTTGTACCGTGTTGTTTACACGCTGACGAGGGCAGGACCCTCAAGAAATCCTCGATCATGGTTTGTAACCTACAGCCTATCCTCGGCGGCAATCCCGACCCGCAGTACGACCCGGAGGAGCTTCACACGAACATGAAATTCAGCTCCTTTGCCACTCGTCTCTTGATGTTTGTCATGCTGAAGAAAGTTTACAAGAAGGACTCGACACCGCTCCAGAAAGTCTGGGCAAGCTTGGCCGAGGAGCTTCTCCATCTCTTCGAACAGGGAGTTGAGTTGATCCTTGGCTCTCAGAGAGTGACGATCTATATTTCCCTTTTGGCCATCAAAGGGGATTGGCCCCTGCTTGCCAAGATTGGTAAGTTAGAAAGGTTCTTTGGCCGCAAAACCCGCAAAGACAAACCTGACGGAGCAGGGATATGCCATTTATGCCTGGGGGGCTGCAGCTCTTATCCTTTCCATGATTGCTCTAGTGATGCTGCTTGGCGATCGACCTACCTTGCCCACGACCCGTTCAGAGGTGTTTCAAGCTTTGCAATCCTCCCACAACACGGTCCACTCCTGTATCGGTTTGATATATTCCATTGCTGCCATAAAGGCATAATGGCCGAGCTTGCTGGGAGTGCACTAGTGGGACCCTCATGTGTTCAGCATCTTAATTTCAATTGGTGTCGTATTAAAAAGATAATTCATGTTTCTAGCTGGGAATAATATATGGCATTACATCGTGACAGGTGGTGTTGATGGACCTTCACCTGGCAGGCCCCGGTGATGTTCCGAAACAGCTGGAAACCTTGTACAGCAGACTCGCAAATTTCTGTCGTGAGAATTCCATAGACCTGCATATGTCTGGGCTGACACGTGCCTTGCTATCCTTCAAGAGGGATTCAGACTTTCCTGTTGGGACTCAAGGCCGCACCGTAGTAACAGGCTTTGATTCTATAGGTTTTTTTTACATATATGTTATCATAGGTATATGTGTGTTTAGGATTAGGAGCCTTCGAATTTCTCCAAGATGGATGGGACTTAGTAAATCGTAGAGGCTTTGTAGCCAAAAAAGAAGTCACGAAGCCCTAAAACTAAAACCCTAACCCTGCCTTAATTTTCCCGTCTGCTACAACCAAACTAAGGGCCTGGTTCAAGGGGGCTGATACGAGTGCCGTGGCCCGCTTCCTAGAGCCGGTCTTCGATCAATTGGTGCAAGACGGGCAGCAGCCAACACAGTACATTGTGGCCATTCGCGATACCCTTCGTGCCGGGAATTCCATGCTTCGCTTTGTATATGGTCATGGTCTTTTCGTGCGAAGAGCTGATGCTGCAGACTATGTGACGATCGGGTATAAATTCCTGTCCTCATATTTGTCAGCTGCTCACGAAGCACTGGTGCTGAGGAAATGCCGTTTCAAGTTGACCCCGAAATTTCACGCCGCCAATCATCTGGTCGACTATGTTCTTAATCCGATGACCGAAAATCCTGAAGCAGAGTGGCTAATGAATGTGGTAGCATGGAGCACACAACAAGACGAAGACTTCACCGGACGAGTTTCACTCTTGTCCACGGCAGTCTCATCGAGAAGCTGTCACGTCCAGACCATGGCTCGTTATGCAATCAATCTCTGGAACCATATGTCAGATTTCGAGGGTTGAAGCGAACTTAAGCTTTCAAGCCAAAGACCTCAACTTCTAATCAGGAATCTTCTTTGCTTTGAACCCTTCGATTCTGATATGTGGTGCGAACGAGCGACATGCAATGACAGCTGGGCTTGCTGGGCAGAAAAGTGGCCCGTCGGTCGGAAGTTTCTTCACACATTCGAAATTCAAAACATGCGCCTGAAACCAAGAACCGCAGACTTCTTGCAGTCCCTTATTATTATTAGCGCCTAGGTTCTCCAGGTGGGAGTTTCCGAAATTAGAGGTCATTCCAGATGCTGTGAAAAAGGAACAGGGTGGTTAGGCTGCTTACGCGGGCGGCGCAAGTTTTCAGCGTTGCAGACCTTAAAAAAACCGACAGCCTGTACGCAGTGCTTGCAATACTCGGCCTGGGTAATACAGCCCTGAATATGCGATGTTGCCACTACAACCTGCTGCTGCTTGGGTCCTAAGCTTTGCAGCAGCCAGCCACATCTCAAACCCGACAGAAATGTCTTAGCACACCGTAAAGGATATGTATATGTATATGCATATGCATACATATACATATATATATATATAATAATCATAAAAATAATAATAATAATCATAACCATAATAATAATAATCATAATCATAATAATCATAATAATCACAATCATAATAATAATAAGAATAATAATAATGGTAATAATAATAATAATAATAATAATAAGACTCGCCATGCGGGAGCCAAAATAATAATAATAAAATAATAATAATAATAATCATAATCATAATAATAATAATAATCATAATAATCATAATAATCATAATCATAATAATAATAGTAATAATAATAATAATATTAACAATAATAATAATATTAATACTAATGATAATAATAGTAATATATCGATCGATCGTTTGTAAATATACAAACACGTATGTATGTGTATATGTATATTTATATGTATATGTATATGTATATATATATATGTATATATGTATATATGTATATATGTATATATGTATATATGTATAGGTTTTATAATATATATATACATATATATATATATGTATATATATGTATATAAGCTTATACATAAGTAGTTCCTTCAGTACTTCAGTGAAATCCGTCAAAGTTTCATAAGGGTCCCCCCCGAGCCCTGAACCCTTCAGCATTTCACCCTGTGCTTGAATCGTTGAGCACTAAACTAAACGCTAACAACCCTGGAGCTCCAAAGCCCAAACCCTATCCCTGAGGGTTCATCCAAATAGGGTTCCTGCAAGGGTTCCTTTAAGAATTTTAAGGGGTTCCTTAAGGGTTTACGGGTATTTTGGAGGTGTATCCCTAAGAGTCCATGTACCCAAATGGTATATACTCTGGGCCCTATGTACCGATATAGGGAGTACTTTACGGCCATGGTATGTACTATTTGGGCACATGGAGCCTTAGGGTATTGCCTCATACCTGCAAACTGAAGCACCGAAGATTTAGCCAAACACCCCACGAAGCCGAAACACCGTACGATCCGATTAGCTACGCAAGTACACATATTTAGGGTTCGGCATTTAAGGCTTAGGTCATCACTGGCTTCTGGTCTTCAGCTAAGCCTATGCACATCTTAATGTACCCATGACACAGTAACTTGCCATAGGTAACATCGCTCTTGCGGATAGCGGAGGTGCGACCTATCGAGGACTCTCGGCGCCGCAGCTGGCCGACTTCGCGCTGACCCGGTCGGAGGGGGGCATAGGGTTCACTGAAGGACAAGGACGACAGAGAACGAGCGAAGGGTTCAAAAGGGGATTCGAGGGCTTAGGGCCCAGACCTTCCAAAATACGCTAATTAAGGAATATGCTCTAAATCATATGAGGTATCCTACTATGATTTAAGGTATATTCCTTAATTAAGTAAGGGATATTGGAGTCTCCGGGTTTCGGGGTTTGGAGTAGAACACAGTAGCGTCTTCGTTAGTAACTGGCTTGAACCTTCACGGACATAACTTTTTGCGAGGCCCCAGGTCCCATGTGCAGTGACAGCTGTCTGAGGCATGCACACATGAGTCGCGAGTCTCTTTGCGATGATGAACGAACTTGCCAACAGGCAGTAAACTCCAAACATGCCTCTTCTACTTTGTCATAGTTGGGTAACATTTTACATGTTTGTGGGTACTGAAACCCAATAAGGAACAAATATGTACATGTTAAATCCTATCCCAACCATGAACTAGTCTACTAGCATCTTGAGCTGTCTCCTTGTAGTAGAGTAGGGAACCTTAAACCTTTTTTGGGTAGTATAATCCCTGTATAAAACCTATATAACCAAAAGGTTAACATTTAGTTCCCCATGATACCCGACAAGTCGGGTCTATGTTCTTTGCTACAAGCCCCAAAGTTTATTCCCGCCAGAGAACCCCAAACCTGTGTTTTAGGGTCAGAATATGAAACCCCTCTTGGTGGTCCCTTCCTTGGGCATCTTAGACCTGAACTCTCCGATAATCTCAATGGGCTCCTATTTTCGCGTCGTTTAAAACAAAGGGTGATTGAATCACGATCTGGAGTACTGCTCAACCCTCACCACCTGGCAGCGTTGGAAAGAGGTGCAAACAAAAAACTATCTAACTTCTATTCCGATAAATCCGAACTTCAGCACAGAGGGTGTTTGGCTACGCAGATGGTTTTGCCCTGTTGCCTTGTAGTCTAAACTCTAAACTCTGCGGGTTCAAGGTTCAGCATATAACCCTAAAATGCCCTGTCATCCCGAAAGCTTTACTGCATCATATTTCTTGGATGCCAAACCGTGCCTTCCAAAACTTATGGCCGCAGATCCAAGTCCTAGCCTGGTATCCTGCAAACGTTGCAGCCTGAACCTTCAGGAAGGTTTATGGTCAGGGATTTAGGGATTAGTTATAGGGTTTAATCAGGGAGCATCGTTCAGGGTAAACTGTACTGGACAAGCGTTTTGGGGTTGAGTGCAAACGGCTGCGGTTTAGGTTGCACCTGAAGCGACAAAAGTCAAGATCCCGAGCTAAACTGGTAATGCCGTTCATCAGGCGTCTGTTCCTGTCGACCCTGTCGCAGTTCACATCGCCACGGCTGGCAGACAAGTGTCCCATGGCCCAGCAGCAGGTATCGAGTACAACGAGCAAATTACGTAATCACACGGAACAAAACATGCATACCTGTGCACCCAAGCACATGCCTACATACATAGACTTAGACAACACTCGCTTTTCTCGCTTTTGGGGCGTAGAGTCCAAGTCGGACGCAGCCCATTCTTAGACAACACATATACATATACATATAATTAACGCACATGCATGCATGCATACATCCATGCATACATACATACACGCATAGGCAAGATGCATTGAATTCTGTTGCTGACATCTAAAGTCTGCTATTAAGTTATTGGTTTCAGGGAGTGAGCTTGAGAAGCTTGGTTTGGGAGCTTCTGTGTTTTAGGGCTACGGATAATGATATAAATCCTGCATTACACATAATAGGGAATATGTGGGAATTATGGTATATTCCTTATCATGGGTAATGCAGGGTTTATATCATCAACCGTAGGACCTAGGGTAGGCCCTTATTCCCCGTTTTTAGGGTTCAGGTTCCCTTACGAGCCCCTTTAAACCAAAAAGGGCACCGTTGTTCTTCCTAGGTTCCTCTTGGGTCTTACAGGGCTTCTGAGTCTTCTTGGGTTCGATTTAGTACAAATTTGGTCGGCCACGAGCAAGCTGAGAATAAGCCAAGAAGCAAACCAAATCCTAACACATCGAAAACCTCAACCTACACCCGAAAAGCTTCACTCCCTAGATCTTTCTCTACCACCCCGAACCTTCGACCTAAACCCCGAGGCTTAAGCCCAAAACCCTTTGCTGAGGCAGCCCAGTGGTGCAGACATTTCAGCCCTCACCGGTGGCTGTTCTGCTGGCCGCGAGCTTACCTGTGTGTTCAGATTCTTGTGCTGAGGGACTCTGGGCTGTAGCACCTTGTTCAGGAGACCTGCTTGCTAGGTAGGGCTTCGGGACAATCTATCTTTTCTCTTATTGGGTTTCAGAGGATCTATCTTACCATTTTTTGTTCAAAGGCTT